CATGCTAGAACTTTCACCGCTACATCTGGTAATTAAACAGACAGCCAAACGAACTCTGCTCCAAATGACATCAGAGGGAGTTGGCAAAGGGAAGGTAATCTCATCCCAGCAGTTGAAGGCGCTAAGTGAGGAAATACCACTAGCTCTTCTTCCAAGGGATAGCATTACCAAAGTAGTAAACTTCAACAGGAAGTTCAAAGTTACCCTTGGCAGCAAGTCTGAATGGAATAATTCATCACTGGACCTGCTGCTAAGGGAAAGCACTATCAAGTGGTACACCGACGGGTCGAAAACAGAGGAGGGGATTGGTGCAGGGGTCGCTGGGCCAAGCACCAAACTTTCCATTCCCATGGGAAGTTTCCCGAGCATCTTCCAAGCCGAGGTCTATGCTATAAGTCGGTGTGTAGGGATAAACCTCCAACGCAACTATCGCAATAAAAGTATTGCTATACTTAGCAATAGCCAGGCGGCACTAAGAGCGATCTCTGCCTATGAGGTCAGATCTCTTCTAGTGCTGGAGTGTATAGAACGGCTGAGCAGCCTATCAGAACACAACCGAGTGCACCTTATTTGGGTGCCTGGACACAGGGGTATAGCCGGGAACGAACTGGCTGACGAGCTGGCCCGCTCTGCGGCCTCTACAAAAATGATAGGACCGGAACCATTCATAGTGGTTGGTCCACATACAATTAAAGAGATTCGCCGTAGGGAGGAAAGAGTCTGCTGATGAACTGCACAGCAGGGACTGTATCGCCTCACTAGCACCCAGCAGAATTTTGGAATTTATCAACATGCTGGGCCTAGATGATACGATATGACTTAAGGGAGGGCATAATAGGCCATAGGTCGCGGTGCATACCTCAAAATTAATATATCTATCTATCTATCTATATATGTATATATGAAATAATTATGTGACAGTGCACCTTCTGATCCCTCTTCGCCTGCGATCGATCAACTTGCGTCGTTCTAGCTGTACTCGTAGAAAGCAAAAGTGAAGAGAAAAGTCTTTGTTTGTGCGGGGCAGGGAGAAGCCAGCATCAGCGTACGTGTATTTGTGAATGTACACAATTGGAAAAAGAGGGACGGCCAGATTAAAATCCTACAGAAAAATATATAAACAGAGAGATTTGTGATGCTGTTGAAGATCACTAACAAAAATTGGAAAACAATGAAGATAAAAGAAAACGCGAAATTGAAATGTATGTGATGATATCTTTTGTGATGTCATGCTTAGTAGTATTGATTTCCAATCGAAAATTTTTAAAAACATTTATTAATTGAGAGCTAATAATACATTTATTCTTTTGATTACGTATTGAAAGTTCAAAAATTATTGTTTAATATATCACAAAATCACAAAAAAAGAGTATAAATAGTTTCTGCATATGTTTAACGGATACAAGTATAATAATATTTAATTTTAATAAATGTTGGATATTTTAATTTAAATTCCCAAAAATTGTTATTTTGTCTGATCTGGCTACAATAGAAAATGTTATAAAAAACGCTAATTTTGAGGCCCTCTCCCACTGGAAAGAGTTGGACATCCCATTATCCCTGATCCCTGACTTCAACACTTCAAAAGTGAGAACCTGGCCGTTTTTCATGTGTAAACTACAAATTAGTACTCAAACGGATTTGATTTATCATTTGCGGCTTCTCTATTTATTATCATTCTCTGGCAGAGATAAAGAGATGCCCAACTCGTCTCTCACTGGAAATGAGAGCGCAATTGATAAACGTCAAAACCTACTGAACTCAAGCAACTGTCAAAGTTCAGTAGGTCTGACGTTTAGCAATTGGAAAAAGAGGGACGGCCAGATTAAAATCCTACAGAAAAATATATAAACAGAGAGATTTGTGCTGCTGTTGCAGATCACTAACAAAAATTGGAAAACAATGAAAATGAAAGAAAACGCGAAATTGAATTGCATGTGATGATATCTTTTGTGATGTCATGCTAAGTGGTATTGATTTTCAATTGAAAATGTTCAAAAACATTTATTAATTGAGAGCTAATACATTTATTCTTTTGATTACGTATTGAAAGTTCAAAAATCAATTGTTTAAAATATCAAAAAATCACAAAAAAAGAGTATAAAAACGTTTCATTCTGTAATTTAAATTCCCAAAAATTATTATTTTGTCCGATCTGGCTACAATGGAAAATATTATAAAAACGCTAATTTTGAGGCGCTCTCACACTGGAAAGAGTTGGGCATCCCATTATCCCTATTCTCTGTTTATACTTCACACAGCGCATAGAAATTCAGCTCTTATTTTAATGTTTGTAAGAGCATACAAATGCGAAATATCATAAATGATAATGCCAATTTGAAGAGCAGTGTAACTATCTTGGAGTTTTCTCCCAAAATTTGTTAGCAAGAGGCGAATGGGATTTTTTGGGGTATTTTCAGAAGTTTTCTTTACTTTATATATCATTTTTTTATTTTACTTAAAAATAGGTTACAGATAACGTTCACAAATTGTTGTGCAACTCTCACCTTTTTACTTTCTGACAATTTCAAATATTACGGACTTGTTGTACCATGTTATTTAGAGAAATTGATGGATTCGGAAAGGATTGACTTTAATTCCAAGAACCACCTGATGCACACAGCTTTCATGCATGTACTTCGAATTTTATTTTCACGATATGGCACATAAACTTGCGCCCAGAGACTCTTAAAGAAAGATGTAAGAATTTTCTTTGTTGTTAGCAGAGCAAATTCAAAAAAGTTACGATACTTAAAGTATTAGAGGAAATAAATATGGAATAGTAAAAATGGTTGAATATCATATTGAAAATATGTCCCCCTAACGTTAGTTTCATCACAGGCCTCAAAAGCTCCCATTCGGATGTCTTTAAGTTTACAACTCGAACTTGACCGTCCGTCCCTGGAGAAGTGCCAATCACACGGACAAGGTTCCATTTCGTGAAGGGCGTGTTGCCTTCATGACGATATCATCTTTCTGCAAATTCGGCGTTGAGCGTATCCATTTCGAACGGCGTTGAAGACTGACAAGATACTCATCTCGCCATCGATTCCGGAAGTGATATGTGGTTCCGTTAAAGACTTCAACATCAAGATCTGGAAGCCCCTTTAGCGGTTCACCAATCATGAAGTGTCCTGGCGTAAGAGCTTCGAAGTCGTTTACATTTGTAGGAATACAGCAAATAGGACGTGAATTCACACAGGCTTCAACTTCAGTTAGTACTGTGGCAAATTCTTCGTAAATTAGAAGCAAAGTGTATAAGGCGCGCTTAAAATGATATTTGATTCGTTTTATACCAGCCTTCCAGAAGGCACCCATGTGAGGGCGCTTCGAGGGTTGAAATTCCAAATTGACCAATTGAATTCCAAACGAATGCATTTTCGATATATACCACGGACGAGGTTACAAACGCTTGGCACCCAATATCGTCGTTAAAGCGCGGCTTGCATTATCTAAGGTCCACCATGTAATGTTAAAAGATGTATTTCTACCGCGATTAATTTAGCAAGCGGTGATTTCTTCGGCCCTACTATAGGATGTTTACCATAGTCCGATAGCGTTGGATGCGGCCTCCTACACGTAAGATACCCTTTGAGTCTAGAAACGGTTGGAGTCGTGCTAGACTGCTTCGTATATTTATTAGCTTGTTTACTCTGCAATTACAAATTTCCTTTTTAAAATCGATAGACTGAGTATACTTTACCAAAGCTATTTCAGCGTTTTGATTTTCAGCGCAGGATAAACTGTCGGATTTTCGTATCGCGGCACTAGGCCGTGATTTTGTGATGAAGCGTAATAAATAAGCGATAATACGTTTAAGTTTGTTGAATGAATGATACTTCGTCAACAAATCCCAATCGTCAGCGGTTTTCGTCAGTAGTGTTATAGTTTTGCTAGATTTTAGTTCGAGATCTGTTGCGTGCGGTTCTGCAGAGATCGGCCAACTACTGTTGTTTTCATGTAGCCATTGGGGACCATGCCACCAAAGTTGATTTGTGAGCAGTTGCGACGGTAATATGCCCCTTGAAGCGCAATCAGAGGGATTGTGCTCTGAGGCGACGTGTCTCCAGTGTATTGCTGGGAGAACATCTTGTACTTCAGGGATGCGATTGGCCAAGAATACTGACCAACGGCTAGGGTTGCCTTGTAACCACGCCAGTGTAATCATTGAGTCTGTCCATGCGTATAATTTGGAAAGGGTATAGTTCAGATTTGATTGCACTTGCTTCACTAGCTTTGCTCCCAAATTAGCTGCACAAAGCTCGAGTCGGGTTATGAGGTAGTTTTCAGAGGCACTACTCTTGTTTTCGCTGCTACTAGTTCCACCCTAATCGTACCGTCCGGAGACTGCATGCGACAGTAAAGTGCAGCTGCATATGCGACTTCTGATGCGTCGGTAAAAATGTGAAACTGAGAATCAGAAGTTTTACTAATCCTCAACCAGCGGTTTAGTTTTAGCGTTGATAGTTGCGGTAATTCACGACGATGCGTCAACCAGTCCTTCGCCATTTCTAAAGGAAGAACTGGTTCATCCCAATCCACGTTTGAGCGTAAAAGTTTTTGTAACCAAATTTTAGAACGAATCGTACAAGGCGCAATTAAACCCTGTGGATCGAATATCTTGCTCGAATCGGAAAGAAACGTTCGTTTTGTAAGTTTGTTAGGCAAGTCGTGGAAATTCACTGCTATAGAAAGCCAATCATGGTTTGTGTGCCATATTGTACCAAGAGTGCGGATATGGTCTCCATCGGCTAGGAGATGCGAAATTTGTTTAGATGCTTGCGGTATCAGATTTCTAAGCCTTTGAGAATTGGTTTCCCACTTACGTAGTTCGAACCCACTTTCAGAGAGTGCGAGGGAAACGTTTTTTTGAAGTAAAGCGAGTTCATTAAAGGTATCAGCATCAGTTAGTAAGTCATCCATATAAAAGTCTGACTTTATAACTTCTATAACTTTTTTGATTGCGTTTGTCGCGTTAAGTGCTGCTCGATGCAGGGACCTTACGGTAAGATGCGATGCTGAAGCAACTCCATACGTGACCATGCTGGATGCGAACGCCAGACTATGCGTTGATAATCGGGACATAAACCTGGCGGTATATCTTTTCGATGTCGGCTATGATTCCAAAACAATGAGTGCGAAAACGAACCAAAATAGAAAATAGATCTTGCTGTATTTGTGAGCCTATCATGAGAGCGTAATTGACGAATTCCCAGATGTTGAAAACTACTCGCAGTTTCGTGGTTTGACTAGTGGTCTTTACCACCGCATGATGGGGCATGTAATAAACTTTATCTATTGTCATCTCTACTGGTTCCATGTGTCCCATAGAGATGAGTTCCTCCATAAACATGGTATACTCTTTGTGAAGTCGTTCGTTAGCCGCAAATACTTTTTCCATGCGGAGTAATGCTCGCATAGCTGCTCCTCTTGATTCACCTATCAAGATGTTTTTCTTCAATGGTACCGATGCACGTTCGGTTGTATCGTCGTATAGTTCCTCACACATAGATTCTTCAGGTGAAAGGAATTTGCGGGCAGGTAACTCTTCGACTTCCCAAAACTTGTGGATGAGTTTAGTTAAATGAATGTTGGAATGTAATGTTGAAATGTTCACCGGTGGACTTTGTAAATTGGCAGCGTTGCCAAACAGTACCTATCCGAATACAGTGTTTTGTGCAATTGGTGTACCCCGTTCACCCTTTCGAAGTCCGTGTAGCAGAGATTTGGCCATTTTATCCATTCCAATTAAAATGTCTATTGGCCCGGGCTTGGAATAATGCCGATCGGCTAATGGCATATCCACACAATGTGGCCATGAAGATGTCGGTACATCGGAGGTTGGAAGATCGTTAGTAATTTTCGGTAAGATGAGCGTCAGTGTCGGCATAGTGTGCTTTTACATTAAAGCGTTGTACATTTGAAGGAGCATCGGACCTTGCGGGTTGATCGGTAAAACTTGCGTGAAGTAAAGTTTGGTGACGTCGTTCGCATATGCGACACGAAGACGTGCTATGGCAACTAGTGAGGATATGCCCCTTGCTTAGGTAATTTATACACGTGCCTAACTTTTTAATAGGGGTTAGTTTACCCTTGAAGTCGAGTTGGCTGAACTTTGAGCAAATGAGATTTTATGCTCACCTTTGCAATAAGCACAATTCGGTCGCTTAGTAGCGGTTGATTTAGCGTTATGTACTTCTGGCTGTGTAAATGCCATATGGAAGACATTCTTTGTTGTTGTCGTTGTCTTTGCGGTAGTGGTGAGTAGCGCTACCATCTCCAATGAGCATGCGCAGTTTTCAAGAAATTCTCGAAGAGCAGAGAAAGATGGTAGTTCGTCCAAGACAAGCGATAACTCCCACTGCTTACGGGTTTTGTGTGCTAACTTTGAAACGGTTAGGTGAATGAGCCAGTCATCCCAGAAATCGACTGGTCGTTCGAGCGCACGTAGAGCACCAACGTGTCGAAGTATGGAATTTAGAACTTGCTTTATTCCCTTAGCAGTGGCCTTAGCTGAGCTCCCAATTGACATTAGTGCTTTGATGTGGCTGTCCACCATGATCCGCATGACCTTGTACCTCGCGGTCAATAAGTCCCAAGCTTCAGTGTAGTTGTTATCACATACCGCTAAGCTACTCACCAAATTCTATGCTTCTCCATTCAAACAGTTTCGTAAGTAATGCAATTTTTGTCCATTTGACAAATTCACATTCGTATGAATAAGAGAACAGAAGGCGTCATGAAAAGGAAGCCATTGAGTGGGATCAAAACTAAATGACGGCCACTGCAGTTTTAGAAGTGGTACAGGAGCAGGTGAATCTTGAGCGGTAGTTTGCAATGTCTGCTGCCTTTGAGTTACACTCCTCATCTTGTATGCGTACCTGCTGCTCCATGGAATCGTTCTCGTCCCCACATGTTAGCTCCACCTCTTGTTGGGCTATGCAAAAGCGAATCCATTGCTCCTCCAACAAGTGGAGGTAAGTCGTTATAGCCTCGTTATCTACCGACAGAGCATCCACTTTGCTAGATTGCAAATAGCGTTTAATAGCATTTAGCGCGGAGTCCCGAATTTTAACAGAAGACATGTTTAATGTTGAAAATGCAAAAATATATTGAAAATAAAAGCGAGTTTACGGAATATCATTAAAATGCGATGATATCCGGCTCGAAGGACCAAAATATGTTGATATTAATAACGCACGCGAATAGATGCGGAAGATTTAAGTGGACTATTGCTGACTGAAATTAAACACGACCTATCTGTTCGAAATCCTTTATTGAAGAGAGCGAAAAAACGGAAGCTAGTTTGACAGCAAGCACATAAGTGCTGCCCAGCAAGCTTTAAACATATGTTTACAAAGGTATCACCTTTATTGCTTGTTCTCACCACCTCTGCAATATAGGCGCGTTACCGATCTTTTTGGGTGTCTGGTTCCCCAGGAGGCCTATTTTCACCCATATAAAAATTGCAGTTCTAATTCAATGTACTTGTATTGTAATAACAAATATTCGTGTCGCATATTCTGGTCGATTTTCCGTGACGAACGAATCAATTGTTTTCGGTAGAGGTTCCCATTGATCGTCTGACCCGATTTCAATAAATCATAATAGAGCACATCCTTGTGGTCCCACCAAATACATAGCATAACTTTGGCACCATGGATATTCGGCTTTGCCGTGGATGTCGATGGTTGGCCGGGCTTCACATACGATCTCTCGCGCTTTGGGTTATCATAATGAATCCATTTTTCATCTCCAGTGACAATCCGATGCAAAAATGACTTTTTTTGGTGGCGTTGAAGCAACATTTCCGACATGCAGAATCGACGTTCGACGTCTTTTGGCTTTAATTCATAAGGCACACAATTTCCAAGCTTCTGGATGAATCCTAATGATTTTAATCGTCTGGAAACGGTTACTTGATCAACTCTTAATACTTTTGCTAGTTCTTCTTGCGTCTGGCATGCATCTGCGTCGAGCAATGTCTCCAATTCTTCGTCTTGAAATTTTTTTGGCTGTCCGGGTCGTTCTCGGTCGTCTAAGTCGAAATTGCCACTTTTAAACCGTGCAAACCACTTTTGGCACGTTCGTTCGGCTAAAGCATGGTCACCATAAACGTCCAGTAAAATACGATGGCTTTCGGTAGCACTTTTCTTCATGTTAAAGTAATGAAGAAGAACTTCCCGCAAAAACACTTTATCTGGTACAAATTTCGACATTTTCAAATGAATGAAACAAATTGTTGTTTACGCTAAAACAAATGACATCTACTGAAAACGACGCGAAATGACAGTACCTTTGAAATGAATATAGCCACAGATGAACACGACGCGAAATAATACTAGTAGAGCCCTATCTTAGAAAACCGCACGAATTAACCGCATAAACAATATAAGTCAAAATAATTAACTTGATTTAAACAAAAACCAAAATTAATATATAAAAATCAGGTACAATGCAATTTATGAACAAATATAAGCCAAAACAATCTACATTCATTAATTTCAAGATAAACAAAAATAAATATAAAAAATTAGGTACAATTCAGTAACAACAATAATAATAATCAAAACTATCTACTAAATTCTTGCGAAATTCTTATTAAAAAGCCCTAATAAATGAATAATGGTGAAGAAAAAGGTCCTTCACCAAGTACACGAAAACACTTAAAAAATAATAATATTATAATAAGCGTACAAACTTAATCGCAAAAATTCTCATTTAAAAATCATAAAACAAGGTAATCATGGAAATGTGGCCTTCGGCAGATAAACATTTTGACAATTATAAAGTAGCTCAGACTCGACTCATATTGGCGGACAAACGAAGATGATTACTATTTATGTGTATTTTATTTATATGTATGTGTAACATACAAAATCTTAACGATTTTGAAATCACTTTTTTATTAAAAGCGTTTGCTACGAAATATGTTCTAATTCTAATGAATTAACATTTAATAGTCATGGAGTTATAGTTTTCACAACAATAGCACGGTTCTACGTCCTCTATTTTTTTAAATAATATTTGGGGAAACCCAATCCTGAAAATACACAATAGCATTTTTATGTAGAAAGCTGTTTTCGTCTACGTCCACATTTATCTCGATTTGTATATTTGAAAAACCTTGAAAGGTTTGCCAAGAGGTGTTTTGAACCAAAGCGTCATTACAGGCCATTTTTATGGGAGTTATTAGAAAACGAATCAGATTGTCAACTGGCAAGAGTTCACAATTTCCTTTTACATCGAATATATCCTATGCTCCATGCTTGTCTGAAAAGATATGAAAAACGCTGCAGAGTTATTCTCAGATCAAATCCCTCCTCTGCGTACTAAAAGTGTGTGTTATTTCACTGCCGAAGGAATCGTACACTTTTAAGTTAAGAAACTCCTCGTCTTCTTCAAGAAAAAACAAAGACATTGCTATTAAAAATGTTGAATAATTTATTAAAAACTCGGCTGTATTAATAAAATATGGAGACTTCGAATTATTCAATTTCCCGGAGCTTTAAAGGGCGAACATAACACTTGCAACAGAATGACTAAAATCTTGAGGAGCTAACTGCACGCTCATTTTTTGAAAGGGTTGAGGGGCACTGTGTGTCGAGGTCAACTTATGGGTTCAACCAATGTCGTTTAGGGTATCATTTTTATATTTATGAACGATATTTGACCATTCAACTGGGCGCCCATTAACAACGATTTTTTTATTTTTATTATTTTCTAAGCAGTTTCGTGTTTTTTTTAAAAGATGAAGAGAATCCAAGACTTCCGAGTCATTCACTTCGAAATAGGGGCTAGCTTTACACAGTTCTACTAACCTAGTAAAATTTCACCCTTGGTCGCTAACTATTTGGCAGGGACGCAGTCCAATACCCTGCAGTTGACCTTTGGCTTCGAATATATATTCCTTCCTTATATCGAAAGGTTTGTGCAAAAAAAATATGCTAAAGGGTGGATCCAAGTTTCTTCACCAATCTCTTGGACGAAAAGTGTTAAAACACTGGAAGGTAGTGCAGTGGTACGATTTTCATCACCGTAATCGTCCAACCCAATAATCCAGTCCCTATATCTCTCATATTGAAGGTGAATTTTCAGAGACATATCTCCACAGCATATCGAAACAAATCTCTGTGCGTCTATGAAGCCACGACTTCTCAATTCCAGGGCTTTAATGCTACTAAAATTGCAGCTAGGGTTACGTGGCCAACCCTGAACAAATTGTTCGAGGGTAACTTGCGATGGCCAATTAAAAACTGGAAATACCTAAGTATACGTTATAGGTGATAAAAATTTAAAAGCCGGAGCTAATGTTTTTAATTTCCTATCATACCTATATCCCTTCGAAGTACGGGGTGCATTTTTAGACAATTTCTCACACATATCGCAATATGTGGAGGAAGTATGTCGTATAGCTCTGAAATTTGTCTCTTTGTTTCCTTCCCAATTATAGACAAATTTTTACTACTTTCAAAAATTTCTATTTTACTTTCTACAGCTCTAACCTTATTGCGTCAAAAACTCTATCTCCTCCGATATTACGTCTAGCTTCTGCCGATAATTCTTTTCGTAGGTTCCCTTCGGTCAAATATTGTTCTGTTTGCGTTTGGCTACTATTTTCCCATGTGTTAACTACAGAGTTACTTAATAATGTGGAAGAACATGTGTGATCTTCATTATACTAGTATAGGGGTTGAAGGGATTTACCCCAGGTCTCAAACATATTAGTGTTTAAAGTCGAGACAGTTCTAATTGGAGAAGAGCTAAGATGCATCGGCTTCAAACCTTCACTTATAATATCTAATTTTCCGCTACAACCTATTGTCTTATCTACTCTCACTGCAGGTGACTCTTAAATTTAAATCGGTACAGCCGATTTGGACAGAAGAT